TCGCAGCCGCCCTCATCAGATAGCCCCCCAGGGTCTGAAGCCTCCTGGGCACATTCCTAAACCGCCGCCCCCACCATACTGATACTCGGGTCGGGGGAGGGTGGAGGCCCTCAAGGTAGACCGAGGGCGGCGGCTTCTTCGAAGACATGGGAAGTGTAAGAAGCGCGCGCCCTGGAGGCTTCTGCGAAGTCCCCTTAGAAGCCTCCGGGCGCTTCCAGGCAGGCTCCTGCGCCCTGCCTTCTCAGAAGCTCCCCCCCCCCCTTCGCGCCATCCCCCTTGTGCGCGCCGCCGAGATGCCGTTGCCGTGCCCTCGTTTTCGCCCTTGTGGGGGCCCTGGGACGGCTGCATTTGCCTCGAGAGTTTGGTCAGAACGCACCCAGAGCGAGATCCGAGCAAGAATTCGCAAACATGTCTCGAAGTGCTCCTGCCAGGTCTCGAACCATAGAAGGGCACCAGACATAGTTTTCGGAGCTCCCCGCGGATTTCTTGGGTCGTTGTCGAGGGAGCGGTGTTTATTTAATTGAACGCCCCTGAGGGGGCAGACACCGCCGCCCCACTTGTTGGAACTCGGAGTTTCTCTGTGGTGGTGTCGATGGCGATCCCAGAGGGTCCAAAAAGGCTTGGAGGGCGGCGCAACGAGGGCGGCAAGAGGCTCTGAAGACGGCATGGCATTGGACCACGCGTGTCGAAGTCTGGGGGCGACACTGCGGTGGCATGCGCAAACGCAGAAAGAAGCACACATAAGACATTGTTGGGCCCTCAGACGGGGAAATCTATTCCCGTGTGCCTCGCACGTTTCTGGACTTCTCGCGAGAGGAGGTCGGCGGACGATGCAAGTAAACGGAAGCGAGATGTGCTGTCCAGTGGCTTTTGAGGCGGACCAGTGGGCGCCATAGAGCCCGAAAGAATCGAAAAACAGCCGTTGAGGGCTCCAAGAGGTTCCGAAAACAGTCCAAAATGGCACCCTAACTTGTCGAAAACGGCGGCCGAAATGGAAGAGGGATACGGAGAGGTAAACAAAGCGGTCCGAGTTAGTTTGGGGGCCTCAAAAAGCTCTCCAGGGACCCCCTGAGCGCGCCAAAGAGGGCTCAAGAGGGCGCCAAAAATGCGGCCAGACGGCTTTAGATGGGTCCGAGAGTCTGTCAGGACGGCCAGAGGGAGCATCCGCAGCTTCCAAGATGGCCGCAAGAGCCCGCAGAGGTGCACGGGAGCTCCAAGAGAGGCGCAAGGCGAACCCCGAGAAGGTCAAACACGTCATAATCTTATGTGTTTTTCGATGTTTATTGCTTGTTGGAGTTTTCTGGTGTATGTGACCGGAACACAGGTGGGAAGGCATCTGGAACGGCCGAAAGTGGTTTGAAAGACGGTGAAGACTAGCCCAGGAGGGCCCCAGGAGGCTCCAAAAGCCGGCCCTGTGGGCTCCAGGAGAGGTCTCTGATAGGACGCGGCGGCGCCCGTAAGCGTAGCACGTGAAAAAGAGGCGGTTTTGGGACGGAAGTGGTGGCCAGAAAGCGTCCGTTCCGCAGCCAGGGCTCCCGGGCGGCGGAATGAGCGGGCCGCGGGGAGGACCCCAGGAGGGGTTGCGAGAGCTCTGAGGAAGGGCAGGGGTACGAGGCGTGCGTGGGCAGGTGATTCAGGGGAAAGAATTCTTGGAGATCTTGCGTGGGCGTCTCGCACGCCGTACCCGGTGGGGCGGCAGATCGCTTCGCTCATTCCGCCGGCCCATCTTGCATCATTGGTGCTATATGCTTGTGTGTCCGTGGCGAGCGAAAAGGTGAAGGAGGAGGACGAGGAGGAGGAAGAGGGGGGGATGAGGATGAGGAGGAGGTCTCTGGAGAGCTTTTTGTGTCAAGTTGAAGCGAAACTGGTCATGGACTTTCTTGGGTCGACGTCGAGGGAGCGGTGTCTACTGGGTGGGCCGCTGGACCTCCTGGCGGCGCCCCATGGCGCCGGCCCAAGCGCGCTCCGCGCGCCTGGGACCCAAACCCCCGACGTCATGATCTTTGTCATGCTGCTCGTTTTTTCCCCCGTCCCCCCCTTCGTGGAGTAATTCGATCTTGGCTGTTTGTTGGCGCCCGTTTCGAGCAGGTGGAGCCTCCCCCCAGTGGACGCCCTGTCGCAAGCAGTCGCACTAAGCAGGGGTCTGGAGCCAGACCCCCCTCTCCCCCCCCCTCTTCCGCCCAATGTCGAAACGCCGAATAAGAAAACGCTCGCATGACGCGACCCCCAGAGATCGGGACCTACTCCCCGGGGACCGGCTTTTCATCCTGCGTCGTTCTGTTGACGGCCCCGAGGCCCGGTAAAGGCCCCCCGAGGCCGACACTGGCGAGACACGGTCCGTCGTGATCTTTGTCGCTTGTCGAGGGGGGGTCTGGGGAGGGCCTCAGAGGAGGAGAAGGCACCACTACCACTGCCCTTTCCTAGTCTCCGCCTTTCTGGGGGGCCTCTGGGGCGGCCTCGTCGCCACGGCCGGACGCGCCTCGAGATTCTCTGGTGAGAAGGCGCCCCTGGGAAAGGTCCGGGGTGAAGCGGCATCGGCATCTCTCTCTTCAAAGCTGAAATGGATGATCGACTTCGGGCGGGTGGAGGAGGAGGAGGAGGAGGAGGAGGAGGAGGCGGAGGGTGACCCCAAGTGGGGGTAAAGAAGACGGGCCCTCAAGGGGCTCTTCGGGGCCCCATTTGGAACCAGCGGGGGCCCAAAAGGAGCCCGAAAGGGCCCATTTGTGGGCCCTGTTCTTCACACCCCAATTTGGGTCGCCCCTCGTAGCCACCCGCCCGACAATTGTCGGATCTCCGCGCAGATTTTTTGAATCGGCGCCAGGACCCCCTGGCGGCGCCAAGCCGCCAGTGAGGCGGGTCCATCGCCGATCCGAGACAGCCCCGTGGATGTCCAACAGTTCTATGTCTGTGCAGCCTGTTGTGCCCCTGAGGTCACCTCGCACGCGCTGGCCTGCCTCGGCGCGAACGACGGGAACGCGTTCTCGGCGCTTGGCTTCAAGGAGGACGGCCAGTGGGTAATGGAGCAGTACTCCATCAATGGCAGCGTCAACGGCCCCTGGAGGGAGGAGGAGGCGGAGGAGGAGGAAGAGGAGGAGGAAGAGTAGGAGTGAGGAGGGGGACGATGGAGGAGGTAGAGAAGGGAGGGTGGAGGAGGAGGAGGAGGAGGAGAAGAAATAAAGTTAAGAGGATGAGGAGGAGGAGGAGGAGGAGGAGGAGGAGGAGGGACCAGTGTAAACTCAAGACTCATCAAGGATTTTCGAGTTTACCATCCCTCCAAGCTCCCTGTTTTCATAGGCCCCTAGATTGATTCATTTCCACTGAGGGAAGTGCCATATTGGGAGACAACTGTTTGAAGATCCTGAAGCGTGCCCAACCACCATTCTCAGTCGTTTCCTCCCTTCTGCGAAGGCCAGATAGTCAGGGTTTAGTAGCCTGGCTCGACATCTTCTGGCAAATACAGCTACCGTGCTTGAAGCCAGACACAGTGTCAAGAGGAAGCTCACAGAGCGCTTTACACGTGGTGTTTTCCCTACGTCGGAAACAAAGGTGTCGTTCGTGTCAACGTCGGCCTGCCCCGCGTCACGCTGGAGAGGGAACGGACCACGGGCTTAAGAGACACCCCACCATACTGGGTGCAGTCGGCCCGTGGGGGTGGGCACATAATTCAAAGATGCTTGTGCCCTTGTTACAGTGTTTCGACAAGTTGTATTCGCTGTCACACTCTCCATATTCCATTCACTTGCTTGTACTTTGTTGCGTTGTTTCGATAATACTGTATTCAGTGTTGCAAAGGCGGTTGTCTCTCACCAAGCGATTTGGTCAATCATCAGGCAAACTTCTGGTTATCAGCCGAAAGTCTCTCCAAGAGCTCGTTTTCGGCGGTGCACAGAGTAGTAGCAGTGGTCGCCTTACCAAAGATGGGGCTTCGCACGTGCGCTCTGATTGTGGTGCCCGAGAACCGGGATACGAAGTCGGCTCCGCCGTCCTGCGCTCCAGTCAGTGCTCTGGTCACGGGGGCGGGGGGTCGGACATTCAAGGAAAAAGGGGGCACCTGCGGCCAAGCCGCCACGTGCCGACGATGTCACGAAAGAGGGGGCAGTCGTTTCCTCCCTTCTGCGAAGGCCAGATAGTCAGGGTTTAGTAGCCTGGCTCGACATCTTCTGGCAAATACAGCTACCGTGCTTGAAGCCAGACACAGTGTCAAGAGGAAGCTCACAGAGCGCTTTACACGTGGTGTTTTCCCTACGTCGGAAACAAAGGTGTCATTCGTGTCAACGTCGGCCTGCCCCGCGTCACGCTGGAGACGGAACGGACCACGGGTGCCTGCAGCCCTTAAGGCAGGCGCGTCCCCGGGCAAGAGACACCCCACCATACTGGGTGCAGTCGGCCCGTGGGGGTGGGCACATAATTCAAAGATGCTTGTGCCCTTGTTACAGTGTTTCGACAAGTTGTATTCGCTGTCACATTCTCCATATTCCATTCACTTGCTTGTACTTTGTTGCATTGTTTCGGTATACAGTATTCAGTGTTGCAAAGGCGGTTGTCTCTCATCAAGCGATTTGGTCAATCATCAGGCAAACTTCTTTCTCACAGCGTCAACGGCATGAGTCAACTTGACTTTTGCGTCTTGACGGTTCGGATTCGTGTCGGAACAACATGGTTGGGACGTCAACGCCGCGAATCAGCGTAACTGCTGCGCCCTGACAATCCTGAATCGTTCCAGAACGCCGTCTCTGGTACGTTCAGAGTGAGACTCATTAAAACTCGTGTAAGTTTAAAAACGATTGTGCGCGGCGCTAGGGCGGTTTGAAAAAGAACATCTTTCAATATGTGAAGCTCTTGCAAATTGTTACGGCGAGTACGCGCGGCGCTAAGGCGAGAGCCACATTTTGGAAACGGACCGTCCTCAATCCGTGAAGCTCTTGCAATTGTTTAAAGCGAGTGTGCTCGGTGTTGCGGCGGGAGCCACATTCGGACCGCTCCCAATTCGTGAAATTCTTTGTATTCTTCAAAAACGAATGTGCGCGGTGCTACGGCGAGAGCCACATTTTGAAAACGGACCGCCCTCAATCCGCGAAGCTGCTGCCAGTTCTTGAGCCTCCGGCTCATAAGTGGCAAGCAGGTCCCAACCCAAACTCCCAGCCCTCCCTTCCGACTGGCCTCGGGGTGCGACAGGGAGGAGTTGTTCATAAGGAAGAGGAATGGAGGGATGAGGGAGATTGTAGGCGCGAGGAGGAGGGAGAAAGAGGAGGAGGACGAGGAGGAGGAGGAGGAAAAGGAGGAGGAGGAGGACGAGGAGGGGAGCGGGGGGAGTGCATGAGGAAGTCGGATGCCAAGGCCACCTTGCCTAAGTCGGACGCTACAGCATATCGTCGCTTGAGTCTGCGCAGCGCAAAAGAGAGATGGAGCACGAGGAGATCGAAGGGGGCAGAGAGGGTAGGAGGAAGGAGAGAGGAGGGAGTGCAGGGAGGCTGAAGGTTGGGAGGCTGGGGGGAGGCAGGAAGAGGAACAGGGAAGGGGGAAAGAGAGAGAGAGAGAGCGAGGCGGGACGAACAGGGACGAGCAGGGGAGAGGGAGGCTTCCAGTACCACGCCACCATGCGCTTCGATGCCGGCGGTCCGCCTGGCGGGGCGCGCCACGTGACAGGCCACACGCTCGCGAGCCCTGGCGAGGCGTCCGTGGTGACGCAGTTTCGCGCCGAGCACTCGGCGACCGGCTGCTTCCAGGCAGGCGCCGAGCTCTGGCTTCCACCCTCCTCGAGAGCCGCGGGGGGTGGCTGTCCCACGGTGCTGGCCCCCGTCTGGCCTCTTGACGCCTCCGGGGGCCTCTGGAGGCCTCCCCAGACATCCGAGGCCTTGCTTCTGTTTGGGTGCGGGGGGCCCGGGGTGTCCCGACCCCTCCCCCAGGGCAGGCTTTTCCTCCCGAGTCGTTTCTCAACGGTCCTGAGGCCTGGCGAGGGCCCCCCAGAGACCGAAATCGCTAAAAAGCTTGAGCAATGAACTTTCCATCAATTCTTGAAGGTCTAGGTCTGGAGTCCGACGGGGACCCTCCGGATCAGGATCAGGGGCGACATTTCACAACATTGGCAGCCGGCGGTGAGCTGTCAGCTTGGCTACCGTCAGGAACCTCGTAGAGCCCTCTGACGTGTATTACGCACCAGAAACAACCCAGATGCCACAGGAAGTTTCTGAGACTGTTCTCAATTTCTGTTTTGAGAAGAAGATGTATCAGGATCCAAGGTGACACTTTTTTAAAGCCTAGCACCTCGTCCAGGGCGTGGGCGCCGCGTCCTGCCCCGGCCTGTGCGCCAGCTACGGGCTGGACGCGTCGCAGCTGGTGGCACGCTGCGGCCTCTGAGGGCTCCTCCCCCTCCTCTTCCTCTTCCTCCGCCTCCTCCTCCTCCTCCTCCTCTTCCTCCGCCTCCTCCTCCTCTTCCTCCGCCTCCTCCTCCTCCTCCTTTTCCTCCTCCTCCTCCTTCTCCTCCTCCTCCTTCTCCTCCTCCGTCTTCTTCTCCTCCCATCAGCAGAGGAGGAGGAGGAGGAGGAGGAGGAGGAGGAGGAGGAGGAGGAGGGGGAGGGGGAGGAGGAGGAGGAGGAGGAGGAGGAGGAGGAGGAGGAGGAGGAGGAGGAGGAGGAAGAAGCCTCGGCTTCCTACTCCTGTTCCACATCCTCCGAACCTGCACAATCCTCTTCAACAACTTCTCCAGTGGGCATCCCCCTTTCCGTGCGCAGTGCTTGCAAAACGCTCTTCGTGATTCCTTCCTTGGTCGCTGTACGACTGAAGAATTCCAGAAGAGTTACGATCGCAGGGTCATCATTGAGGAGCATGGGTTTTCGAACTTCGTCATCGGTGCAGTCGGTGGCCTCTGAACCTCGGGGCCTCCGTCTTCTGGCTTTCCTCGTTCAACTTCTCTCGCCGACGGGCAAACGAATGCAGAGTTGGGCTAATGGGGTTCCATTGCCGAAATTGATATTCTATCTCAAGCGTCATCTTTTCCAAACAAATCGTTCTCTGTTTCTTTGGTTCCTCTTTTGCTACAGGGCCAAACTCCTGGCGCAGCTGTTCCCAAGGCTCTGAGTCGTTCATGGGTTTTCGAGGCTCTTCATTGGGACCCTCCGGTTGCCTCTGAAACTCGGGGCCTCCATTTTCCTTCTGGTAAGTGCTGTCTAGCGACGGCACTTGATAGACCAGCTGTTCGCAACTTGCAATCCTAGCAATCTGACGTTTCCGAGCATAAATACGGCGGATCCGTTCTCTGCGTTTTTGGCCTGTCGTTTTTGTTCTAGGTAATAAATACTCCAATCCTCCATAGACATGGGAAGTTGCGGCACAAGAAAATTCCGTCACCAGCTTATGACCCTGTTACGCGAGAAGGTGTCGCAGAAAGTACGGTATCGGAGTGGTTGCAAGGATTGTTTCTTCTCTCCGTTCCTCATCCCCCCTACTCCCTCTCGCCCGCCCGACCGGGATTGGAGAATGTATGGGGCGGAAGTCGTGTGAGTGAGTTTCAGTGAAAGTCCTCACTCCGTCGGAGCTCAAATTGCCTGGGCCTCTAACGCCGACTAGGAAAAGGAGGGGGAGGGGGAGGAGGAGGAGAGGAGGAGGAGCAGGAGGAGGAGGAGGAGGAGGAAGAGGATGATGAGGAGGAGAAGGAGAAGGAGAAGGAGGAGGAGGAGGAGGAGGAGGAGGAAGAGGAGGAGGAGGAGGAGAGGCGCCCGCAACCCGCAGCTTCTCGCCCATGCGCGCCTCTGGCAGCGCCCTGCGGGACCTGGGGGAGGTTCCTTCCCTCTCAGGGCGAGGGGGAGCACGAGGGCGAGGAAAAGAGGAGGAGGATGAGGCGGAGGACGAGGCGGAGGACGAGGCGGAGGAGGAGGAGGAGGAGGAAGAAGAGGAGGAGGAGGGAGTCAGGAGGGGGAGAGGGAGGGGGAGGGAGGGAGGGAGGAGGAGGGGAAGAACGAGGACGAGGAAGAGGAGAAGGACGAGGAGGAGGAGGAGGAGGAGCAGCAGCAGCAGCAGCAGCAGCAGCAGGAGTAGCCGGAGAAGGAGGCGCCCCCCCCCCGCCCCGCCCGCCGCTCCCGCCCCAAAGTGCGGCCTCCCATGCCCCGATCCCCCCCCTCCTCAACACAAAAACTCGCTGGCGTTTTCCCGCCCGTGCGGCCCGGGGCCTGCAGCGCTCGACGGCGGCCGGCACAGCGGGCCGCGCGGCGCGCGGCCCTCCCCGGCGCTTCGGCTCCGCCGCGCGCCCTGTGGCGGAGAGAAGAAGAAAGGGCGCGGCCGCGAGCGGCGCGCAGCGGCGTGCAGCGGGGGAGCCGGGGCCTCTGCGGCACGAGGCCGAGCTGGGCGAGGGGGGGCGGGGGGGCGGGCGAGGCCCTCGGCGGAGGCCGAGCGGCCTCCTGGCAGCGGGGGGGGACCTCCTGGCACGAGGGGGCCCTCCTCCTGCTCCTCCTCCTCCCCCCCTCTTCCTTTTCCTCCTCCTCCTTTCCCTCCTCTCCTCCTCCTCCTTCTCCTCCTCCTCCTCCTCCTCCTCCTCCTCCTCCTCCTCCTCCTCCTCCTCCTCCTCGTGTGTCGCTCTCCCGATTCTGTCTGGCCCACCGCGATTCGGCTCGACACGCTGCTTCAGCGCCCCGAGCTGTTCCCAGCCTCCCGCCCTGGGGAGCGCAACGACACGCCGTCCGCCTGCAAGGCGCAGCGTGTCGCCGAGGCCGCCGCCGCGACACGCCACCCTTACCGCATCTGCGGAGGGCGCCTGCCGCCTCCGCTCCGCCGCGCGCGCCGCCCGGCGGGCAGAGACAGGGTGCGGCCGCGAGCGGTGTGCAGCGGGGCGGGGGCCTGACACGAGGGGGGCGGGCGAGGCCCTGGGCGGAGGCCGGGCGGCCTCCTGGCAGCTGTGGGGCGGCGAGGGCGAGGTCGACGGCGACGGCGACGGCGACGGCGACGGCGACGGGGACTGGGCCGGGGACGGCGTCGACGACGACGACGACGACGACGACGACGACGACGACGACGACGACGGCGACGGCCACGGCGACGGCGACGGCGACGGCGACGGCGACGACGACGACGACGACGGCGACGGCGACGGTGACGGCGACGACGACAGCGACGGCGACGACGCCGACGACGACGACGACGATGACGGAGACAGCGACGGCAAAGCAGGCCGGAAGTCGGCGTCCCAGGGGCTTGAAAAGCAGGGCGGAAGCTTCCGCCTTGCGAAATCACTTACAAAGTGCGGCGGACCCAGAGTCAGGGTTGAAGAGGCCGCGGCGGCGGGACGGGCCATTCGCCTGGCTCTGGCCGGGAGGCCCGCCTCGCACGGTGAGCCGGTGCCGAGAGACGAAGGCGACGACCGAAGAGAACCGAGAGACGAAGGAGGCCCCCTTGCAGAGTGCTCCTCTGTGGCCTCTGGGCGCCCACGGGCGCTTCTGGTGGGCCTCCTGGTAGTCGGCCTTCCTGGCACTCGCGGTGGCTCCCGGGGCCAGTTCGTACTCCTCTCTCTGGGGCCAGAGCTCTCGAAGACCAAGCTGTTCCCCCAAGCAGCGTCTGTACCGAGGGGGTCCTTTTCGCCTTCTGGGCATAATTGGGCGGCGCCTCCCGGTTTCGCTCGGCGAGCCCGCCTGTCGTCGCATCGTCGTCGCCAATTCGTGCGCCGGCGGGTGCTTCCAGGCTTCCTTTTCATTGTTTGCATTGAGGGGTCCTATTCGCCTTCTTGATAACTTGGCGGCGCTTCCTGGTTTTCGCTCGGCGAGCGCCTGTCGTCGCATCGTCGTCCCCAATTCGCGCGCCAGCTGGCGCTTCCGGGCTTCCATGTCAGTGTCTGCACTGATGGGTTCCTTTTTGTTCTTCTGTTTGGTACCCAGACATCCGACGCCGTGATTTTTCCAATGCGGGGTCCCCGGAAGTTTCGATCCATTCCCCAGGACAGGTTTTTCATCCTGAGTTGTTTTTGACGGTCCCGAGGCCCCCTGGGGGCCGAAATGTGCGGAAAATTTCCGTCTTGTTTTTACCGAACAGCGAAGACTGATAGGTTTCTAGTAGGGTCAAAAGAGAGCATCATGACGCCCCAGGGGGGTCTGGGCGCGATCCGGGGGAGTATGCCGGGGACTATTTTTTACTTAACAGCGAAGATTGATAGGTTTCTAGTAGGGTCAAAAGAGAGCACCATGACGCCCCAGGGGGGTCTGGGCGCGATCCGGGGGAGGGTGCCGGGTTTTTTTTTAGCAAACAATAGCGCAGTAACGCACTTCGTGGTCTTCGATGTCCCAGAACTCCATTCCCGGGCCACATTCTGAATGCCCGGAGCCAACTGTAGGCCACTTCGTGCTCTTCGAGTTCCCACAACTCCATTCCCGGGCCACATTTTGAATGCCCGGGGCCAACTGTAGGCCACTTCGTGCTCTTCGAGTTCCCAGAACTCCATTCCCGGGCCACATTTTGAATGCCCGGAGCCAACTGTAGGCCACTTCGTGGTCTTCGAGTTCCCACGAACTCCATTCCTGGGCATGATTTTGAATGCCCGGAGCCAACTGTAGGCCACTTCGTGTTCTTCGAGTTCCCAGAACTCCATTCCCGGGCCACATTTTGAATGCTGAGGCAGGCTGATGCTGAGGCTGAGGCAGGCTGAGGATGAGGCAGGCTGAGGCTGAGGCCGAGGCTGAAGGCAGACTGAGGCTGAGGCTGAAGCAGGCTGAGGCTGAGGCTGAGGCAGGCTGAGGCTGAGCAGGCTGAGGCTGAGGCAGGCTGATGAGGCTGAGGCTGATGCAGGCTGAGGCTGAGGCAGGCTGAGGCTGAGGCCGAGGCTGAAGGCAGACTGAGGCTGAGGCTGAAGCAGACTGAGGCTGAGGCTGAGGCAGGCTGAGGCTGAGGCAGGCTGATGCTGAGGCAGGCTGAGGCTGAGGCTGAGGCTGATGCAGGCTGAGGCTGAGGCAGGCTGAGGCTGAGGCCGAGGCTGAAGGCAGACTGAGGCTGAGGCTGAAGCAGGCTGAGGCTGAGGCTGAGGCAGGCTGAGGCTGAGGCTGAGGAAGGCTGATGCTGAGGCAGGCTGAGGCTGAGGCTGAGGCTGATGCAGGCTAAGGCTGAGGCAGGCTGAGGCTGAGGCCGAGGCTGAAGGCAGACTGAGGCTGAGGCTGAAGCAGGCTGAGGCTGAGGCTGAGGCAGGCTGAGGCTGAGGCTGAGGCATGCTGATGCTGAGGCAGGCTGAGGCTGAGGCTGAGGCTGATGCAGGCTGAGGCTGAGGCAGGCTAAGGCTGAGGCCGAGGCTGAAGGCAGACTGAGGCTGAGGCTGAAGCAGGCTGAGGCTGAGGCTGAGGCAGGCTGAGGCTGAGGCTGAGGCTGAGGCTGAGGAAGGCCTGAGTGAGGCTGAGGTGAGCAGGCTGAGGCTGAGGGCAGCTGAGGCTGAGGCTGAGCGCTGAAGCAGACTGAGCTGAGGCTATGAAGCAGGCTGAGGCTGAGGCTGAGCTGAGGCAGGCGGAAGGCATGAGGCGAGTGCAGGCTGATCTGAGAGCTGCTGAGGAGGCTGAGGCCTGTATGGCAGGCTGAGCGAGGCAGGCTGAGGCTGAGCGAGGTCTGAAGGCAGACTGAGGCTGAGGCGAAGCAGGCTGAGGCTGAGGCTGAATGGCAGGCTGAGGCTGAGGCTGAGGCTGAGGCTGGGGCAGGCTCAGGGTGAGGCAGGCTGAGGCTGAGCCGAGCTGAAGGCAGACTGAGGCTGAGGCTGAAGCAGGCTGAGGCTGAGGCTGAGGCAGGCTGAGGCTGCGGCTGAGGCAGGCTGAGGCTGAGGCAGGCTGAGGCCGAGGCCGAGGCTGCAGGCAGACTGAGGCTGAGGCTGAAGCAGGCTGAGGCTGAGGCTCAGGCTGATGCAGGCTGAGGCTGAGGCATGCTGAGGCTGAGGCCGAGGCTGAAGGCAGACTGAGGCTGAGGCTGAAGCAGGCTGAGGCTGAGGCTGAGGCAGGCTGAGGCTGAGGCTGAGGCAGGCTGATGCTGAGGCAGGCTGAGGCTGAGGCTGAGGCTGATGCAAGCTGAGGCTGAGGCAGGCTGAGGCTGAGGCCGAGGCTGAAGGCAGACTGAGGCTGAGGCTGAAGCAGGCTGAGGCTGAGGCTGAGGCAGGCTGAGGCTGAGGCAGGCTGAGGCTGAGGCTGAGGCAGGCTGAGGCTGAGGCTGAGGCAGGCTGATGCTGAGGCAGGCTGAGGCTGAGGCTGAGGCTGATGCAGGGTGAGGCTGAGGCTGAGGCTGAGGCTGAGGCTGAGGCAGGCTGAGGCTGAGGCTGAGGCAGGCTGAGGCTGAGGCTGTGACTGCGACTGCCGTTGCCACTGCGACTGTCATCGCGTATGCGACTACGACTGCGAGAACAGCAGAATTCTACAACTGGATTCTCATCTGAATCTTAAGGGGAATGCTTCCAGATATGCTCCTACACATCGCTGTTAGGTTGCATTGCCGGGATCATATTTAACTTTCGTCTTCGTCTAAGATCCGCCTGTAGGGGGACATGCCCGACTCGAAGCTGGCACCAAATAGGTTCCAGGCTCCGGGGGGGGGGGCGGGCGGGGCCAGGACGAGGATTCATCCGTTCCAGAGCGTTCCCAGAGCGTCTTCTCAGAGTGTTCCGGAACGCTCTGAGAAGGCCGCGGCGCCCGAGGCATCCTCCAGAGCACCCCGGACAAGCAGGGGCGGCGCTTCCAGGTTTTCACTCGGCGAGCGCCTGTCGTCGCGCCGCGCGCGCCGAGCGCACGCCAGTGAATGGCTCAAGTCCAGCGGGCCAAGATACTGCAAGGCTGAAGTCGAGCCTGCCCCTCCGCAGGAGGAAGATGCAAAAACAGTATAAGAATAATCCGGGGACGATTTTTCTACCATTTTTGAGCATCTCGTGCGCCGCCCTGTGCGCTTCCAGGCTTCGGCGCGCCTGCCCGTCCTGTGCGCTTCCCGGGTGGCCGGGGGGGGGGGGTCTCGGCCGGAGGGCGCCCGTGGCCGCCCCGTGCCTGCCTCGCGCGCGCGGGGCCGGCACCGCAGGGTGTTGCTGCGTGCAGCACGCGCAGCTCCCACAGCCTCCTCCTCCTCCTCCTCCTCCTCCTCCTCCTCCTCCTCCTCCTCCCTCCTCCTCCTCCTCCCTCCTCCTCCTCCTCCTCCTTCAAATGTGCACGGGAATCGACGTCGGCCCTGCTAACGTATTGCGCGATTCGGTCTGCCTCACAGCCTGCACCGCATACACAGACTGCTGTACGTCGCGTGCTCCGCATGTGTACCTACACCACCACCCTTCGGGTTATA